CCATTGGGTTTCCGAGGCTGTAAATCTTTATGGAAGTAGGTCACCCCATCTTCCTTCCATGAAGCAGATGGTGGGTTTGAACTGCTGACCTTCCAGTTAGCAGTGAAGTGCCTTATCCACCCTGCCACCAGCACTCCAATGAAAGGAATACACATCTATAACTGTATAAATATAAATGATTTGAAGAAAACACGTTTTTCCATCTACCATAAGAAATCATTTTAATTCCCAATGATATTGACATTGGAACTTTTTCTCTCTTCCTTCATTCCAGAGTCACGTTCATGAGGATACAGCCCCTCCCTGTCTGGTCCATGTTGTATCCTGAGTACTTGGAGCTGAATCAGGCACATAGTAGGGGTTCAGTAAATTGTGCGGGTGAAAGCACCACTGAATCTAGGGACTTGCCTGGATCAGACACAAGCAGGCTCCGTGTCCCTGGTTCTTCCCTGACCCCACCATGGACTGTGTCCCCAGAAAACCTCCACTTAGCTTTGAGGAATCCCTATTCAATTTCAAAACATCAGATGGTGTTTTGCTGCTAAGGATGGCATTGAGGGAGAATCTGAGAGCAAAAGCTTATTCCTTGCAGTGGATCTGAGACGTTAGCTTTTGGGGCAGGTGTCTGGGCTGAGGAGGGGGCTGCACAGGGATTCCCACTGTTGGGTGCAGCATGTTTGTGTCCAACTTCCCCACTGGCCTGGAGCACTGTGTGAGCTCTGAGGCTGCTGTCCCAGGTTGCACAGTAATAGTCAGCCTCGTCCTCAGGCTGGAGCCCCGAGATGCTCAGGGTGGCCGTGTTCCCTGACCTGGAGCCTGCGAATCGGGCAGGGACTCCTGAGGGCCTGCTGCCATTATAGATGAGGAGTTTGGGGGGACTACCAGGGAGCTGCTGGAACCAATATGGATAGCCACGTCCAACATTACTGCTGCCTCCAGTGCAGGAGATGGTGACCATCTTGCCCACAGACTCAGATTTTGCAGACGGCTGAGTCAACACACCCTGAGCCCAGGATCCTGGAAGTGGGGGAGACAGGGATGGTGATAGTGGGGTGTAGAGATGGGAAGAGAAAGCAGGGTCCCATGGGATTTCCCAAAACCCCTTCCCGTGACCCCAGTCTAGTCACCTATGAAGCTAGTGAGAAGGAAGAGGAGAAGAAGGGACCAGGCCATGTTGGACAATG